CATAGGAAAACCTAAAAACTCCACCAAAAGACTATCCGAACTTTATATAACCTAGAGATTAGTGCTCTCTCTGATGTGTGAGGGGTAAAGATTTGCTCCCAAGATGTAGGCTCTCTATTCACCTCACAGATTGTTTCTTTTGCTGAGAAGAAACCAAATGCCGAATATTTTCTCTGATATAAGGAGGCTGGTTCATATGGGATAGGGAGAGGGAGCATGGGAGGAATAGACAAACTCTAGACAGGGCAGAGGGGTTGGAGGGGAAGGGAGGGGGCATGGGATTATTAATGATGGTGGAATGTGATTGTCATTATTATCCAAAGTACATGTATGAAGACACAAATTGGTGTGACTATACTTTGTATGCAACCAGAGATATAAAAAAAATGTGCTCTATATGTGTAATAAGAATTGTATGGGCTGGGGATGTGGCTCAAGCGGTAGCGCGCTTGCCTGGCATGCGTGCGGCCMGGGTTCGATCCTCAGCACCACATACMAACAAAGATGTTGTGTCCGCCGCGAACTAAAAAATAAAAATAATAAAAAAAAATTCTCTCCCCCCTTCTCTCTCTCTCTCTCTCTCTCTCTCTCTCTCTCTCTCTCTCTCTCCCCCCCTCCTCTCTCTTTAAAAAAAAAAAAAGAATTGTAATGCAATTCTTTATGCTGTCATAAATAAATAAATACACAAATGAAAGGAAGTCTAGCATTGTAGAAGAAGAAGAATGGGGAAGGGGAGGGAGGTAGGAGGGTAGAGAGAAACGTGATCTGAAATCAAATTCCATGCATGTATGAGTTTATCAGGATGAACATAACTACTATATATAACTACAAAACACAAATAAAATAAAAAACAATGAAGAAAGACTATCAGAACTGAAAAATCAATTCAGTATAGTAATAGGAAAAAAGAATCAACATATAACTACATCTCATTGTTTGTTATTTATGTATTTAGTGACTTTTCTATACACCAATAATGACATTACTGAAAAAGAAATAATGAAAGCATTCCATTCACAATAGCTACAACAATAAAAATAAAAAGAAAATACTTAAGAATAAACTTAAGTTCAAAAGACATTTACAACAAAAATTATAAAATACTGATGAAACACTGGAGTGAGAAGAAATCTTAGAGTGGTTTTGATTTGCATTTCTCTAATTGCCAGTGATGATGAACATTTTTTCATGTGTTTGTTGATTGATTGTATATCATCTTCTAAGAAGTGACTGATCAGGTCCTTGGCCCATTTATTGATTGGGTTACTTGTTTTTGTTTTTGTTGTTGTTGTTGTTGTTGTTGTTTTTGGTGTCTAGCTTTTTGAGTTCTTTATATTCCCTAGTGATTAGTGTTCTATCTGATGTGTGAGGGGTAAAGATTTGCTCCCAAAGTGTAGGCTCTCTATTCACCTCACAGATTATTTCTTTTGCTGAGAAGAAACTTTTTAGTTTGACTCCATCCCATTTATTGATTTTCTATTTTAATTCTTGTGCCACAGGTGTCTTATTATAGAAGTTGGGGCCTAATACCACATGATGGAGATTAGGGTCTACTTTTTCTTCTATTAGATGCAGGGTCTCTAGTTTTATTCCTAAGTCCTTAATTCATTTTGAGTTGAGTTCTGTGCATGATGAGAGAGAGGGCTTTAATTTCATTTTGTGGCATATGGATTTCCAGTTTTCCCAGCACCATTTGTCGAAGAGGCTATCTTTTTCCAATGCATGTTCTTGGCACTTTTGTCTAATATAAGATAATTGTAGTTTTGTGGGTTAGTCTCTGTGTCCTCTTTTCTGTACCATTTGTTTACCAGTTTGTTTTGGTGCCAATACCATGCTGTTTTGTTACTATTGCTCTGTTGTATAGTTTAAGGTCTATATAGTGATGCCACCTGCTTCACTGTTCCTGCTAAGGATTGCTTTAGCTATTCTGGGTCTCTTATTTTTCCAGATGAGTTTCATGATTGCTTTTTCTATTTCTATGAGGAATGTCAATGGAATTTTGATCACAATTGCATTAAATCTGCATAGTGCTTTTGGAAGTATGGTCGTTTTGATAATATTAATTCTGCCCATCCAGGAGTAAGGTAGATCTTTCCATTTTCTAAGATCTTCTTTGATTTCTTTCTTTAGGGTTCTGTAATTTTCATTATATATATATATATATATCTTTCACCTGTTTCATTGATTCCCAAGTATTTTATTTTTTGAGGCTATTGAGAATGGAATAGTTTTCCTCATTTCCCTTTCTGAGGATTTGTCACTGATATACAGAAATGCCTTTGATTTATGGGTGTTGATTTTATACCCTGCTACTTTGCTGAATTCATTTCCTAGTTCTAGAAGTTTTCTGGTGGAACTTTTAGAGTCTTATAGGTATAGAATTATATCATTAGCAAATAGTGCCAATTTGAGGATGTGGAGAAAAAGGTATATTCATATACTACTGGTGGAACTTCAAATTGATGAAGCTAATATAGAAAGCAGTATGAAGATTTCTTGGAAAATTGGGAATGGAACCACCATTTGATCCAGCTATCCCTCTCCTCAGTCTATACCCAAAGGACTGAAAAACAGCATACTACAGGGACACAGCCACATCAATGTTTATAGAAGCACAATTTACAATAGCTAAACTGTGGAGCTAACCTAGATGCCCTTCAATAGATGAATGGATTTAAAAATGTGGCATATATGCACAATGGAATATTACTCAGCAATAAAAGAGAATAAAATCATGGCATGTGCAGGTAAATGGATGGAGTTAGAGAAGAAAATGTTAAGTGAAGTTAGCCAATCCTGCCCCCCCAAAAAAACCAAATGCCAAATGCTTTCTCTGATATAAGGAGGCTGATTCATAGTGGAACAGGGAGAGGGAGCATGGGAGGAATAGATGAACTCTATATAGGGCAGAAGGGTGGGAGGGGAAAGAAGGGGGCATGAGGTAATTAATGATGGTTGAATGTGATGAGCATTTTTATCCAAAGTACATGTATAAAGACACGAATTGGTGTGAATATGCTATGTATACAACCAGAGATACGAAAAATTGGGCTCTATATATGTAATAAGAATTGTAATGCATTCTGCTATTCTATATAAATAAAATAAATAAATAAAATACTGATGAAAGAAACTRTAGACGACACACAAAAATCTGAAAGAACCCCCAATGTTCTTGGATTGAAAATACTAATATTGTTAAAATGTCCATACAATCCAAAGTGATCTACAGAAAATACCAATGTCATTTTCTGCAGAGCTATGAAAAAAAAAACAATTCTGAAGTTCATATGTATAAAATATAGCCAAGACAATCTTGGGCAAAAAGAACAATGCTGCAGGTATCAAAATWCCTGATTTCAAGATATATTACAGAGACACAATAAACAACATGAATAATGCAATTTGCATAAAAACAGACACATAAACCAATGGAAYAGTACAGAGATTCCCAAAATAAACTCTATATCTACAGTCAATAGATTCTCAACAAAGACACCAAAACAAAGGATAGTCCTTTCAGTAAATGGTGTTGGTAAAACTGGATATCCACATTTAGAAGACTGAAACTTGATCCTATACAAAAATCAACTCAAGATCAATATAAAAACACCTAAATGTGAGACTTGAAACTCTGAAAACTACTAGAATAAAATGGAAAACTCTTTAAGACATTGGTGAAGGCAATAATTTTTCTGGATAGGATCCCAAAAGCACAGGAAACAAAAGCAAATATTAAAAAATGGGATTAAATTAAGAAGCTTTTGCAAAGTAAAGAAAACAACCAACAGTCATGAGAAAATCTACAAAGTGGGAGAAAATTCTTGCCAAAGTATTCATCTGACAGAGGGTTAACACCAACCATATAAATGCAAATTAAAAAATATAACAAAAAAGCCAATTAGAAACTCAGCAAATTATATGAATAGACACTTCACTAAAGAAGAAATATAAATCGTAAACAATGATATGATAAAGTGCTAAATATCATTAGTTAACAGGGTAATAAAAATCAAAACTACAATGAGATATTGTCATCTTAGTCAGAATGGCTATTATCAAAAAATAAATGCTGACAAGAAGGTAGAAAAAAAAGAAACATTTATATATTGGTGATGTATAAGTAAATCCGTGCAGTCATTATGGACAACAGAAAGTTCCTCCAAAATCTTAAAAAAAGATCTATCATTTGATCTACCCATACAAAGAAAATAAAATCAGTATATCAGAAAAACCTGAATGTCCATGTTTACTGCAACACTATTCACAATAGCCAAGATACAGAATCAGCCTAAATGATTTTCAACAAAAGAATAGATAAGGAAAAATGTGACACACACATATAAACACTCTCTCAAACATATTTGTGTGTGTGTGTGTGTATGTGCGCACACACACACGCATAAATAAAGGGAGTAGATACCCAGCTAAAAACTAGAAGAAAGTCCATCTTTCACAACAAAATTGGAGAACACTGTGTTGAATGAATTAAGCCATAAAGAAAAGTACTGTATGTTTTATCTTACATGAGCACATTAATAAAATTTGACTTGGGAGTACAATTATGAGATTACTAGATATCATGAAGGGTTTAGGGTAGAGAGCATAGAAAAAGGGAAGTTGGGTTTGATCAGTACATATACTGAGTGTATAAAAACATCACACTGAGGGGCTGGAGTTATGGCTCAGTGGTAGATCACTTGCCTAGCACATGCAAGGCACTGGGTTCCATCCTCAGTATCACATAAAAATAAATAAATAAAGATATTGTGTCCAACTACAACTAAAAAATAATTAAAAAGAAAATATCACACTAAATTCCATTAATAGATAAAATTAATACCTGTTAGTAAAAATATAAAAGAAAAAAATTACTTAACATTTTTTTAGAAATATTACTTAGGTCTGTTTATATTACTAATGACTATTTTTGTTYATTAAGATTAGATTAATAACTGAGAGAATCCTACATCTTCATTTTCTTCAGCATCTTTGCTTACCTGTTTAATCTTTCAAATTGTGCTAGTTTATATGATGAACTGAGGTCATCTTGACTTTCATTTATTTTGGAAACCAAAGAATTAGAACAATCCACATTGTTCAGCTAGAAAAATGGAAAAAACATTAAAATAGTAAATGTACATACATGGAATTTCACTTGCTCACAAAAAATGTCATTTAAGTGAACAACATCTATATTCAGAAATGCATCTTTTAGTCTAATAGAAAGTAATTTTAGTTCCTTTTGAAAACAAATACTGTTCTAACAATGGCCACCATAGCACAATAAAGGTGAAAGCCAGCAACAAATTAATATAATTATTTAAATGATTGTTAAAATAAGAGAGTTAATACTATGGTGAATTGACATTTTCTCAGTTAAAAAAAGATTATAAAAATAAACAAACACACAGAACACCAGAATCTTGAATGACTAAACGTTAAATTTCTGATAGAAAATAGTAGTTTGTTTCAAGGAATCAGCTACAATGGTCTCAGTTCTTCCATTTACTGTAATTTTAGACTACTACTTTAATTTTTCTGAATATCAATATCATTCAGTAAAAAGTAGGGATAAGAATATGAAGACTATTAAAGCATAAAATACATCCATTTGTTAGTGTGGAAAGTTCTATATAAAATTACTTTATTTTGACCCAACACTAATATATTCAGTAAGGATAATTTATAACTGTAGTATATTTCATTTTAAACCCAGGAATAATAAAAATGAGAAGTCCAAAGACAATCAATTACAAAAACAGAAAACAAAAAGAGCAGAGTTGAGGTGGTAGTGGTGGTAAGCACCTGCAATCCCAGCACAGAAACATAAGGATCACTTTAATGCAGGAGTTTGAAGATCAACCTGGCCACATAGTAAGACCCTATCACAAAAATTTAAAAATAAAAAAAAGGAAAATTGAGACACTGAATGTCTTTGGAAAACAAACAAATAAAAAACATACAAAGACCAAAGTCAGAAGATGGCTAACAAATATATCTCAGTCTCAAAACAGTGACAGAGGAGCAGAAACAAAGTTAACTTTGAAGTGAGAAATAAAAAACCAAAAGAGGAATGGAGGGGCAGAGTACTTGCTAGGCATGCATGAGGCTCTAGATTTGACACCCAGCACCACAAAAGAAAAAAACAGAAAGAAGAGACTATTTCATTTTAATTTTTCTTGCTTTTCTAGAAATCTTCACAAATAATCTATTAAATATTTTTCTAAGAACGAAAAATATGACATTACAATGTGGAGAAGGACATTAGCTTCTCTTTCCAGTCTTCTACCATAGTAGGTATGTTATTTACCTATTTGGAATTAATTGTTAACCTATGTGTATAATATGTAACAGGTAAGGAAGAGATTGGTTACATAGAAATCACAGTGTTTTATTCTCCATCTTACAAGCTAATAGAGCAAGGATAAATTACAAATTAATCTACAATGGGAGAAAAAGGTTGAATGTTTTCTTTAATATGGGGAAGCTAATCCACAAAAGGTGTGGGGGGGCAGAAATAGAGGAAGTTCAGTGGGATTAGACAAAAGGGAATAGAGAGAACGGAGGAGGGATAGGAAAACAAAAGACAGTGGAATGAATCTGATGTTATTTTCTTATATACATACATGAATACACCACAGTGAGTGTCACCATTAATTAATTTAAAAATAAACATAATCATGGGAAAATAGCAGAAAGCTCAATAAAGGAAAGGGAGGAGGGGTGGGGAAAGGGAAAGTAAAGGAGAGATACTGGGGTCCTAATTGGAATAAGACATATTCCATGCTGATATAATTATATCAAAATGGATTCTACCAATATGTATAACTAAAAAGAACCCATCAAATAAAATTTTAAAAATACAAAACAAATGGGTTGTTGAATATCCTTCATTGCATCATTCAAAAATTATTGGGTTCTTTAATTTTTTTCATTTCTCTTTAAGAAACAGCAAAACATCCTTTAATAAACACTTAAAAATCATCATAATTAACTATATTATGTTATATTTAACTATAATATAGTATTTAACTAAAATGATTTATGAACTTATAAATCATAAATTTATTATAAATTTACTTATAGATAATGTACATATGAATATGGTATAAACCACTGCAAGCTAAAAGTTGGGAGAAATCTAAAATTAATATCCCTGTTAATAAAATATAATGCTTATATAGCCATTTTCTTCATTACCATTGTACATTAGTATAGTAACTTCAATAATTTAAATTTTTGACTCTATATATATTTAGTAAATCATTCCCTTATATGTTCTATGACAAACATATAATAGAATTTGGATTTTTTATATTTTAACTGTAGAAAATTGTGATTAAGCATTGTAGTATCTGCTATGTAATATTGCCACATATTTCTATATATGTAGTTGGGTGAGAGGGCATATGCCTGTAATTCCAACAACTCAAGAGACAGAGGCAGGAGGATTACAAGTTTGAAGCCAGCCTCAGAAACTTAGTGAGGGCCTTTTTCAAAGTAAAAAGCAAAGAGGGCTGGGGATATAGATCAGTAGTAGAGTGCATCTAGGTTCCAAGTACCACCACCACCACAAAAAAAAAGAATAAATTTGTACATTAATTGAAGTACTCATAAACAGATGTCATTCTTTAAATCATAAAACCAATCAAGCCACCACAACTCATACTTTAAGACACTAACTACTATGTCATCACTGAGACTATGTCATCACAGGATGCCTTCTATATCATGCAAACTGAGTTGCCATGACATCTATAAACTATTGACTTACAGTGATCATAACATAAACTGCATAAAACAGACTGAACTATTTTCAACTTTACTATCAATAATTTTCTAAAATGAATGATAATTTCTAAGGTAGTGAAGAACATTCTTTGGTTTTCTATTCATAATTTTCTAGAGCATAGAAAATGAAGCTTTTGATCTAAGAGGAATGAATCATCCTTAATTATCTTCTAATTTGGTACAATTTGGTACTTCTAATCTGTACCAATTTGCAGGCTACACTTTTAAAATCTATAAAAAACAGAAGAAGTATATGATAAAAAAACAGAAGTATATGATAAAAATAAAATTCAAAGTTACCTGCCCATCTTGCTTTTTTTCATATTCAAGTTTCTGAGGACTAGATGCTATTCTGGGAATTAAATTTTGTTTTGGAATATGTCTGTGAGAAGGTAATTCTGCTGAAAAAGATGGTGGAGTAAAATTGCACTTTTCTATTCTGCTGAACTGAGGTTCAAACATACTGTATGAGTTCTTCACTTGAGATAACTATAAGAAAAAAATATAAAATAATTTAAATACATATTACCTAAAGAAGTCAAAATAGTACAACCAAAATAAGTGAAAAGGGCATAGGTTGCAGGGGAAAACGTCCTAAGGAAAGACAAGCCATCATTAATTGACACGATTTATTAATATGAGAGAAATTATTAACTAAGATATTACTTAGGAACTCCTTTCCCTTTGCTTTTCCCACCCATATTGCCCTCCAAACACAAGCTTCATTCCTATATGCTATCCTCTAATGAAAGAAAATCTGATTTCCATCAAACCACAAAGTAGATGACAAGATTTACAAAGTTTTTTTTTTTTTTGGTTGTTATTTTGTTTTGTTTTGTTTTGTTTTTAGTATCATTGCTATTCTCTTTCTGGTCTGGTTTAACTCTGACAATTCAAAGAAAGGAAAGAAGAGTTAATAAGAAGGCACTGGACATTAARCAAAATTTCAAGATTTAATAACAATCTATGTACTTCTATTGATTAAAATTTTATTTGCTAAAATCTAGTTTGTTATACTTTGAAAGAAAAATTATCTTGGGATTAAAGTGAGTTTTAAACATCACAACTTGGTATAAAATAATAATGTCATATGTTTGAAKAGATGAACTGCTCAATAATCATATGATAAGAACCCTTAAGTGAAATGTCTTTTACAGCTGTTCAGTAACAAGCACAATCAAATATTATTCACACATAGGCCTAGTCACATTGTTGATATTACAAAGGGATTCTCATAAGGAATCAATTAAAATATACTAAGGTATTATTTTCCTACACTGAAAAGCTTTTAAAAGAATATTTTAAAAGTCTAACATTTTGTAAAAGGATAACTATTTTTCCCCAATATTCAAAATTTAAGATTATTCAGTGACATATCACAATTGTTAAAACAACTTAAAAATTTTACAAAAAATATCTCACCTGAACTTGGCCAAGTTCTTCCTTGTTACCTAGTTTTTGATAGTGTATACTAATGAAAAGAAAAATTCAAGGTTAAAATTTAAACAACAATAAAAATGACTTCTTATATATTTAAAACTCTTAGTGTTCTACACAAGCATACAAAAACATGCAGAATTTTAATAAATCATTTTGGGGTCATAATATGGCTGAGTTTTATAAAAATTATATTAATATTAGAAATAGACTTTTTAAAATTTGTTTTAATTAGTTACACATGACAGTGACATTTTTATGATAAGGAAAGTCAAAGTATGTGTACAAAATGACTCAGCCATTTGATAAAGGTTCTAACATTTTTATAATATCTATAATTAGATAAACAAAAACAACTTGAAGGTAAGTACCTCATAATTTTCTAAAGAATAAAACTGTTGATAATAACCAGTTTAAACATCTAATAATGTAAATACCAGCTGAAACTCACTTGTTTTCTACATCATCAAGGCAGAGTTTAGAAGGTGTACAATGAGGTGACATTGGAAGTTCTAATTCACGTTTCTTTGGAAGCATTTTTATGTTGCTATTCATATTCACATGGAATGGTTTTTTTACAGTTTCTATAATGAAAATATTAGATTATAGTTTAAAAATAAAAACAAAATATTTGAAAGCACTACTTGATACRTCATGTTAATTAAATAAATGTTCATCTTAGAAATGTTACTAAAAACACATTCTATACATGCTAGAAAAAGTCATTACAATATTAACAACAATCACATATAATTAAAAACATCTTTTTCTTCCTCATTTTACATATACATCAAGAAAGAGGCCATGTTAATTTAGTTCTTCTTTTTTCTACTTCCAAGGCTTGCTTCATCACCCAACTATGTATTATTATATATTACTATAGCACCAAACATTTTCTCTCTCACTTTGCATACTTTATTGTACTTGATTGACTCCTGCAGTAGATTTAGACTACATATAGGAAGTAGCCTTATCTTTCATTACAGTACACATACTGTTTTGTCCGTGCAGTACTTTTACCTACTCTTTTAATATTTTTAGTTGTATATGGATACAAAACCTTCTTTTTTTAAAGTTTTCTTATGTGGTGCTGGGGATTGAACCCAGTGCCTCACACAGGTTAGGCAAGCATTCTATCACTGAGCCACAAATCCCATCCCTACCTACTCTACTGAGAAATGTTCTTATACCCACCCCAACTATCTAGTTACAATGAAAACTATCCCTCTCTGTGCAAAATAATTGGTTTGGGGGCAGGCATTTCTGCAAGGATGAACCAATAATGGAATCCTATACATTGGGTTTTAAGTGTGTTCCACTGCTAGGATACAGCACCAGTAGCAAAAGGCAACACTCTTCCATAAAAATGTAAAATGAGAGAAAGAACTTTCAGTCTTTCTGGATGGCAAACCTAGGAGAGGTGAGAATTATTAGTTTCTTAAGGCCAGGTGTTGAGCCTTAATAATGATGACTATCCAAGAGAATAAAAATAATACCTTAAGAAAAAAGGAATCCTATTAGTATGTAAATCCTTGATTCAGGCAGTCTGAGACCCTTTGCATCATCACTCTTCTTTTTACTTAAATATATAAATATAGTTCTTTTTAAATTCATCATTAGCACCCATGAATTATGACTAATAAAGTCTTGTTTTCTATTTTGCCCCAATATAGTATTAAGTGATAAGTAATTCAACAAATATATGTTTAATGAATAATTGTCAGGGAGAAAGTGATGGGGCTTAGCATATATTATCCCATGGAACCTTATCATTCGAAAACTGCAGAAGTAGGAAGATCACTATCAGCTTCCTCTTTTCTCCCTAAAGCAGGCCTCACAACTTAAGATTTTTCTGACCTTTCCCCAAACAGGGTCATAAAAATCTCATTTAAGAGGTACTCTCCTAAGGTACCAAAATGGTAGAATAAAGAAAGTCACTTTCTTGGTTGCTCCATGGTGTGAAAAGACAAGTGACTTCTCAACAAGATGGGTGGAGAAAAACAGAGGAACTTTACTGGGAATTAATTCTGGACATTTAAAGCAGATCAGAACCCAGGAGGTGGATAAAATAAAGAAAAATTCCCAGCACTGTGTATCACTGGCAGGGACTGCTGGAAAGATCCCCCTTGAAAAATGTAGAGGGATAAGTCAATTWAAAAAAAAAAAACAACTCAGCATGTCTGGGTACCAAGAGATTAGGGATCAAAGACACTGCCTGACTGAACAGAGAGGTGCTCTGCACAATATCCTCATGCAAGGAAAAAAGCCCCATTCTCCTAGAAGTGTGAGAGGACAAAGGAAGAAACCATTTTGCTACTGTGGTGTGGGATGGGCAGCTAGGAGAGCCATTTACTGGCTAACCCAAGTTTGGCCAGAAAGACAGGCCCAGCACACCGACACCCCAGGACACAGAGTGTCCCTAATTTACCAGGAGAAAATAAACATGAGAAGGGTTTACACAGGGTAATACGTGACAGGGGAAACCCACCTGGCTCCCTACCCATCCCCTCCAGATTGGCTGCTTGAAAAATCACTAGGAAGAGGTGTCCAACTGAGAATTTTTTTTTTTTTTTTAAAGAGAGAGTGAGAGAGGAGAGAGAGAGAATTTTTTTTTTAATATTTATTTTTTAGTTCTCGGCGGACACAACATCTTTGTTGGTATGTGGTGCTGAGGATCGAACCCAGGCCACACGCATGCCAGGCGAGCGCGCTACCGCTTGAGCCACATCCCCAGCCCTCCAACTGGGAATTTTAAAGGGCAAGATTTATTTGGTTTGGAGACTAAACCTGAAAGACCAAAAAACACATGAGTGACTGTTGGGACGTAGGATTGGCTCCTCCACTATGCTAGTGGAGCCCAGGGGAGATCCCTGGGGGGCAGTATTTCAGCATTGACCAACAACTACTGAGCTTAGAAGATACACAGATTTAAAATCTTCAGACCAACTGCCATTCAGTGAAGAACCTGGAGCCTACACTCCATCTCCAGGAGCTCCTCCAACGGGATTTCCCATCACACTCCAGTAACCCCACAGAACACAACTGGGAAGGAAAGCTGAAAATCATCCGAACTCCAACAGAAATGATTCTTTAAATTAAGACTTTTTAAATTTTACTTTTTTTTCTTTTTTCTTTATCTAAACTGTTCAACTTACCTAATTGGATCATGGATGCTTACACATATTCATATCTATTTCTTCCTTCACCTTTCAAGCATTTTTCAAGGAAATTATTTTTCATGGATCAGCATTTTGAGGACTAGCACATTTATGCAGTATAACTCAATTATGTTCTGGCATTCTTCTACTTTTTTGTAAAATGTTTATTTTATACATTTTTCTCACATATCTACTTCTCTTAATTCTCTCTCTCTCTCTCTCCTGCCTACTGCTAACAGCCAATCTCTATTAGTCTCTATTTCAATCTTCCTTTAATTTTTTTACTTCTATTTTCWCTCCTCCTCCCTCACAATCATAACCTCCTACATCACTTCAGTTCTATCACTGTTCATGACTAAGAATTGTAAATCCTTTGTAAATTTACTATTTTTCCTATGGGCAACAACAGATCATATAATTTCTAATTTTTATGTAAATTTACATTGTAGATCCCATAGAAGGAATTATTTGGTTTAATGATGCGCATTGTTTGCATTGATGGTTGTTATTATCAGACTCCCCCTGAAGATGAAGTACTAGAAATCTTCAGGGACATTATAAGTCAACAGGTAGAAACTCTACTATCTCAAATCCATAGTGTTACATGGGCAGACACACAAACAACATAAAAAAAAAGCAAGGGACCAAGAGGCCCAAACAAACCAAGATACTTCAATAACAATCCATGGACACCGCAGTGGAAGAAAGTCAAAGGAGTTCATTGTTAAACTGATCAGTGAGGTCAAAAAAACAATGTAAGGATGGCACCAGAGAGAAAATACAGAAAGTGAAGGATCATTTTAATGAAAAGATAACAGAGCCACATCAAAACACATTGCTATGAAAATGCCTAACATACAGATTAAGAATAGAATTTTAAAAGCTGCCAGARAAAAGGGACAAACTACATTTAGAGGGAAACCTGTCTGGATCTGCAATGATTTCTCAAAGCTATAAGGGTTTGGAATAACAAATACCAAGCTCTAAAGGAAAATGGATGACCTGATCTGCACTCCATTGATGGGGCAGACACCCACCAGAGCTTAGCCTCTGGCACAGGACTGCCCCTTCCGACCAGCAAACTACCGAAGGAGGTCAAGCCTGGCAGCCCATATCCACCCACACTAGCCTGTGCTCACAGGCTCACAGTAGGCCCGGGTCCACTCCTCCACCAGCAGGCACCCGCCAAAGCCCAGCCTCTAGCACAGGACTGCCTCTTCCAATCAGCACACTACCAAGAGTCTAGGCCCAGCCTAGATCTGTCCACACTGACTTAAGTAGGACCAAGGTCCAGGGTAGGTCTGAATTTACACCCCACACACACCAACTGGGAGCCTAAGCCTAACCCACTTCCAGCTTGGGACACAGCAGTCATTGCCACAGCCTTACCAACACGGTAGCCCCTAACTTTTTGACAACAGACAGGGCCTGCAAGCAGCTGCATCTCACAGCAGGCATCCCAAAGAAAGTGTGCGGCCCACACTTTCAGCCCCATCTCTGTAAGATATTGCATCCATCTTGGGGAACCTTAACTATTATTTCGACTTACCTCTGCTATTGCTGCCACCAACTTTAGATACAGTAGCAAACAGTGAGGGACACCAACAGGGTCTGGAAGCCCAACATCAAGGTGAGGTACAAACTATCTGCATGGGTACTATGAAAATATAGGGAAGAAAATGTAATATCTCAGATCCACACTGCAAGAAATGAAGACACATAGAAAACATGAAAAAATAAGGGAGGAAAGTACCCCAAACAAACCAGGACACTATAATAACAGAACCCATGGACAGCAAAGTTAATGAAATGTCAGAGCAGGAGTTCCAAAGGTTCATAATTAAAATGATCTGTGAATTAAAGAATTACCTAAATGAACAAATACAGGCAAAAAATTGATCCCTCCAACAAAGAGACAAGAGAGCAAACACGAGTAACAAACAATGACTTCAAGAGTGAGATAGAGACTCTGAAAAAAAAAACAGTCAGAAATCCTTGAAATGAAGGATACAATAAATCAAATAAAAATCTCAATAGAAAGCATAACCAACAGACTAGATCATTTGGAAGAAAGAACATCAATTAATGAAGACAAAGTATACAATCTGGAAAATAAAGTTCACCACATAGTGAAGAAAGTCAGAAACCATGAACAGAACATCCAAGAATTATAGTACAGCATCAAAAGACCAAATCTAAGAGTTATTGGGATAGGGGAAGGCACAGAGTTTCAAACCAAAGGAATGCACAATCTCTTCAATGAGATAATATTAGAAAATTTCCCAATATGAAGAACAAATTGGAAAACTACATACAAGAGGCTTACAGGACACCAAATGTATAAAATTACAATAGATCTACACCAAGGCACATTATAATGAAAATGCCTAGCATACAGAATAAGGATAGAATCTTAAAAAGCCACA